GTCGAGGCAAGCAGCCGATAAGAGGCTTGGAGAAATGTGCGAAGCCTGACTGGGGGGTGGAAGTTTGCTCGAGGGAGAGCGAGACCAGCGACTGTAGACAGCAAGTGGGAGAGGGAGAGAGGAATGGAGAGGGAAGTAGGGCGGAGGAGGAGAATCAGGAAACCTCTGGGCCGAAATTGCGAAGGGCACGCGTAGAATTGGAGCCCTACCGGTCGAGGTTGATGGTGGTCTCTCGCGCTCTCTCACTCTGTCTCTTGGAGAGGGTTGAGTGTGGGTGAGGAGGAAAGCAGGTGACAGTCAGGAGGAAGGGGGGGAGGGGGGAGAGAAGAAGTGAAAAAGGGAGAGACTGGGAAGAATTAGAGTGCGTCTTGTCGGATGATATTCACGAGGAGAATAGCGACTAATGGATACGGGGACAGACTGAGGAAGAGAGAAGGAGGGAAGAAGTGCAAGGTAGTGAGAGTGGATGATTTCTTGGATAGGGACCTGGGCATGAAGGAAGAGCAGGAGCCAGGAGGTAGTAGGTAGGTGGACACGGGTACAGTAAGGTCGGGTCGGGTCTGCTAAGCTAAGGTAAGGTGCGGTACCTTAAGGTCCAGTCCAGTCCACCTCAGTGTTCCGCGGGTGATACACTACAGACAGGTAATATTGTAAGGCAGGCCTGGTACGCAGTGAGGTAGACCATACTGCGTAGACGGTAGACGAAGGGGGGGAGACGGCAGAGAAAGGGGGCGCGCTGATTTCTCTGAGGTGAGGTGCGGCGCGCCTTGCTCTGGACTCTCACCTCTCTAGTTATCCGTACGGAGTATTCGTACCAGCCCTCTTTCCCTTTCACACGCGCACCTTGGAGCTTGTTTGCGTTGGACCAGACCAGACTGGTTCCAGATGGGACGTGGGGAGGGAAAAGGGTCATTTGTACAGAGTACTTGTGTCGGCCCAGCGCCACAGCCTGACTTGGGTGTGGAGGACCCGCTCCCAGATGTACGGATACCAATATTCTCTCTGCCGCCAAACTTTGTCTGTTTTATTTTCATTCTCACCAAAACAACCAACAGGACCCGCGTATGAAGACGGCTCCGATACAACGCTGGAGTTCTACCGTCACGGACAACTATTTGCACCATCTGCTGAGGCATACTATGGAAGGGAGGTATAAAGGAGGTGCTCGCCGCCTGCAAGATGAGGAGGGAAGACGTGCAGCTTGCAAAATCGTTGAACTGGAGCATTGGACTGGACAATGGGGGTAGTGGAAGCCTCTGGATTGGCGAGACGACGAGCTGGGGGTCTCCTAGCACCGGTGATGGCAGCCGTAACAGACCGGGGGGTTACTAAGGCACCTTGATCCGGAGAACTGCAGCAGATTGAGGTGGTGAAGAGGCGAGGCAGGCCGCAGGTCACAGAGAGCAATGAAAGAAAAACGAGAAAGAAGCAAGAAACAGAGCGAGGGTCGAGATGGTTCCAGTGTGCCAGAAGCCAGACTAGACCAATTCAGGACTACTTTATGGATCGTGATTGGCTCAAGAGAAAGAAGGATCGTCTCTGATTGGCCCAAACGGCAGGGGCCTTGGGGTATGCCGTGCTGAGGCTAGCGCATCTCGCCCGCTCGCATCGCATCTAGTGGGCTGCCTCTGCGCCTGCCTCACTCCCATCCTCTGCCTCGATAATTGCTTTAGCGCGAAAAGGGACGTGGGCCCATGAGAGCTCACAGGGGTGGCACGGATACACGAACAAGGTCTGGTTGCCTTGGGAATTTTCTGCGCTTGTACTGAATCGCCCCGCGGGAAATGAGAAGGAAGAAATTACCGAGTAAGCGGTCAATCGCGAGCACTGTGTACGGCCGGGATGTATAGGTGAGTCTGTCTTTTTTGCTCTCTTTTTTCTTTCCTTTCGTCGTGTTGATGATGACCAATCGACATCGAACTACGGAGTTAGCCAGCGGAGTACAGTAGTGTTCGTTGGTTTCGCTTTCCATTGTGACAGCCTCTCGTGTCGATAGCGATAACGATTGAAAGGAAAGCACTGCCATGCCATGCCATTTGCTTGTCACGTTATAGTAACTTGAGCCAAGGAAGTCTCATACTCTGCGAGGCTTGGCCAATATTCCAAGCATGAGCGGAGCCAATATTCGTCAACAACTCATTCTAGAGTCTAGTGTAGGCAGTCGAATTGCAGAGCGTGGGAACCCCTTCAGATAGATTGACTGAGCCGGGCAGCTTGTTGTGATGATGAAAGTGTAATCATGTGCGACGCTGCGTCATGATCGAGTGCGAGCCGGTAATGCTAGACAGGAGCTTGTCGGGCACTGCACAGCCGCACTTGGCGAGTGGCTTCACTCAAGCTCGATTCGAACCTTCTTTATCCTGTGTCATCTCTTGCTTATACATTTGATGCTTCAGCCTTGGTTGATGTTATATTCCTCTTGACTCCAGCCTCAATGCCGAGAGTTCCAATCTCTCAGACCACGGTCTTTGGTACAGATAAAGTGATAAGTACCTCCCTGAGAGTTTTTACTCTCTAGACCATTCTGAGCATCATCACATAGCTTCCTGAGAGAGAAAAATTAGCAAGAGCCAACAGTCGCACCTTTTACGATGACTGGGACGTAATTTCACAGGATCCCCGCACAGTATGCGCTCTTCATGCAGCGATGCCAAGTTCATAGGCCAAAGACTGCCTGCTGCCTGTGCCTTTTTCCACGCTAAGGACGCTAGAGACGCTAAGGTGCCGTGGGGTCGCTCCTCCCGCTCTGACGGGCTGGCTCGCCCAAACGGGATATTTGGAAAGTACCTCCCCACTAACAATTTTCAAGTGCTCGATCCGGGGGCGTCACAGTGCAGTGAAAGGTCCACCTTGTGCTGCTTTCTTACCGCCAGCTCTCCACCTCACCGAGCAAGCGTGCGGCAGGCAGGGGACCCGTGAGCCTGTGACAGGTACGTACTGCGTACATACATACAGCCAACAATACTGCGGATGGGTACTCCGTACGGATACAAAGTGCAAGGCAACTCGACATCCGATGCTGGATCCCGCGGACATAGTACGGCGCTCCCGCGATGACAGAGCTGGAAGGCACCACGGCACGCAGGCGGCAGGAGTAATAACTCATCAACAATGGAGACTGGAGCCGGACCCGGACCTCCTGAATCCCCATTCCATTCAAGCCCTGCAAAAACATGCAAACAAAGGAGGTCCAGAGCTCAACAGCCCATAATTGTTTCTGCATTCTCATTCAGGCCAGTCTCGGTGGGTGGTGGCTCTGGTGGATGCTCAGGATGGAAAAGGCGTAGAATCCGGCCGGGAATAATCGACAATGCAATCGACAAGCAAGTACTCCGTGTTGTGTACGAATACTTAGGCTTCTGTGGACTCGTGGAGGAGGATTCCTTTTGTGCCAGGTTGTGAAGCTTAGCCATCCTTAGTGGAAAGTCGCTCAGGGGGCGGTGTACGGAGTACGGATTCAGATTACTGTGTAGTAAGCAGTCGAAGCTTAACCTCACCACCGAACGTGGGGCTTTCTTTACCTTATTGTTCAAGCTGGTAGTTTTGAAAAGTAGGTAAGTTCTCACACCTTCTTCCTTCCTTGCAGTCGTAAGGCGCCTGCTTAGTCGATAAGGTGTCATAGGGTAGAGGCTAAGGCGCCTTACCTTACCTCAAGCAGGCCCGGTCTGAATGATAATACCTGAGGCAGATAATAAGTGAGGCAGCTTCCGCTGGCTGCTTTTCTCTTTGATGATTGCACCTCGGCTGCTTCGACTCTATCGATTTCTAATGACGTGCCTTGATATTTGTCCTAGCTTGCCCACTTTGTCAATCCAACAGGTCAACTTCGTCCGAGGATTGTTCCCGTCAATTTGCGGCCACCAGCCAGGTAGTCCGACATGCATCATACATGTGCGACACGACGGCTGTATCTGTACCCACGGCATCAAGTTCTTATCAGCTGCCAGCTGTGAAAAGCACACAATGACGACCAAGCCACGACTATGCTCTCGAGCACTTGGGTTCACATCACAAGCTCAAGACCAATACGACCCAAGCTACCCGGGAGCTCAAGATAGTCGATAATATCATCAAACACCCAAAGCTCGACACCACTAGTCCTTTCTCGATTTAACCAACAACAACGCCTATCGTTCCTACGATTCGACCGTGCGTTGACCATCCGGCTAAGGAAACATGTCGAGTATTCTTGGGAGCAGTCAACACTGCCACTATCCGCGTTTGCCAGGCCAGCGAGGATGAGCAGCCATGCGCCATTGATGCCGCCTCTTGTGCCACAGTTCCACGGGACAAAGACGGTATCCAGGGCCGCCGCCGCCGCCGCTGGATCTATACTATGCTTGCGTGCGAGGACGAATCGAAACACACGGCGGGCAGATGCTGCTGGCGGTACCACGCTATCGCAGTCTCACAGACGATGCTTCAGGTCTGGGAGATTTACCTACCACTGCGGCGCTGCAGGACGCTTCTAGCTGCCGGGACCACATGCAGAGTGGTACGTAGGCACGCCAAGCGGAGCAAATCGTGGCTCAGTCTGAGAGCGCGCACACCTTTTTACACGTCGCGACACCGTCTAATGAGCTGCAGTCTCGCAGTCTCGTAGTGGCCATTGGTTCGTTCGGGGGTGCTTCCCCAACCCCAGCTCTTACAAGCGGCGCTGCAGCTTGAGCTGTCGACAGGCGGCGGGTCGAAGGAGGGGGTCCCTTCCAGCGTGGCAGCTGTGGCTGCCGTCGTCATCCATCACGGCTTTGCTGCGGCATCGTCGTCATAGGGCGAGAAGATGCGACCCTAGAGAAACGAGGTCATGGGTAGCTAGACGACGAACGATAACGATGACCAGCGAAACGCAAGTACACAGGCGAAATTGGCCACGGCATTGGCAACGGGACGGCAAGGCAGCATGCCTGCCAAATGTCATCTCATGGCATGCATTTTTCGACCAGACCTGTCGCACGCTTTTCGCCTTCCAGGGTTCGCATCGATGATTACACTCTGGTAGACTAGCCTGCGGTCGAGGCCCCGCGAACGATATTCTTAGTCGTCCCACCATCGCCAAACTTACACTTGGTGTCATCCTGCGCTGAATCTGACGCTGTCCAGTCAGTCCAATCCAGTCACAGTGCGGCCTTCCTGCTCACTCACCGTCGGACTGGAGAGCCGATGTGGGATCTCGTGGCGTGCTGGGATACCGTTGCTGCGAAATGATGGGATGCTGAGACATGGCCGTTCCCCAATTTTCTTCTTCACTTAGCCTCTACGGCTCCTCTTGCTCTCTGCCTGACCCCTTTGCAGAGTCGCAATGGCCAAGGAGATCAAAAATTTTGAAGTCCAAATCAGCAGATGAAAATCAGGCCTAGGTGCTCTGGCCAGGTCTCTACCAGGGCCCCAGGGTTGCAAGACCGCAAACGTGCCTGTCAAGATTCAGCAGTGACGGGTCACGGCAGCCGGGGCGGTAAATTTCGACCTGCATCCCGTTGACTTGGATGCCCTGGTCACACTGTCCGATATCGACATGTGCCCGACAAGTGCATATCACCAACAATCCATCTCGCCAGTCCAGTCTCAACCACGCTCAGACACCGGGCGGTTGGTCTTGGTCAATGCAGGTTCGGCGTGGCCTCGCGAGCCGCATCAACATCATCAAATCAACGCCGTTAGCTTCTAGCGCATTTCATCAGCCCCGTGCTCACCGCATCCAAGCCATCTTGATATGCTCGTGCTATCAATGGCATCTATTCATGGCCTGGCTGGTCTCGTGCATTCTACAGACGCCTGAGACGGAATGGCAATGAAATAGCAAAGAGACTTGAGATTAAACCCGCAACATGCATATAGCAGGTAGGGCAGGTCACAGACAAGTCTTCTCATACTTTGTTCGTACAGAACACGAGAATACCAACTTTGGCAGAGGGTTCACCTTTGGAGGCGGGTGGCGTCGAATGGGCTGCCATCCTTGTACGGGTAGCTGACGGTGCTTATTCCTCCCGGACAAATACAGGCCGCGATATGTCTGAAAGAAAGGATACCGCGGGCTCTTCGTCCGCTTCAGGCTAATTCTTGTATTGTTCGCTGGTAGAGTAGCCCCAGCCGCACTCCGCAATTACACAATCACAAGCGAGAACTTGCTTCTTCCGTAATGAATAAGGCGAGCATGCTGATCCGAGGATTATCGGATATGAGCTTTTGGTCACAATACGATGAGGGAGACCATGTCCATCGGTTGCTTCGTAATTCACGCACATGTCGGGCGCAAGTGCTCCCTCAGCTTAACTCCGATCTTGGCAGAATCGGTCCATTCGCGACATCTAGAGACTCGACCACCTATTCAGCAGCCGACGCAAGCACCGGGAGGGTATACCGATTCCGCGAACCTCCACCATGGGAGTCAGCAATGAGCATTGGAGATCCATACGTATGATGAAGAAGGTCAGCAGCAAGAGACGACCGAGGAGGCGTATTGCGTGTGCCAGGAGCACCTATAGGGGGGTTGCCGGATGGTGGGGTGGGCGAATACTTGGCGGGCCGGCGTTTGAGATTGAACGTTTCTGATGCTCCGAATCTGACTGGCCGACTGGACCAGTACCTTGCAAGGCAAGACATGGAATTCCAGGTCTCCTAGCCAGCCGACCGTGTTAAGAGGTAAATGGCCCGGCTACGGCCACCAATATGGTTCTAAGCCCAGTCTTCGGGCTTTCCTGGGGGAATCGGAGCGCCTCCTCCAACACCATCTCACCTCGATACTCGCCGTTGAACCCCATCAACGCCGGTCGCAACCTAGCTTATTGCCATTGCGGAACCTGCATCGACCCGCACTCGCGGATCGCCATAACAGTGGCATGCCGCATAATCAGCAGATGCAGATATCAACGGCGAGATTATCGGAAAAGAGGAGGTATTGGAGAAACGGGGACAACCAAGGGAACGTAGTTACGAACCACACTTTGCATCCACCAATCGACGATTTGACTCTGTCGCCGCCCAACGGTCACTTGGCAGGCCTTGGCTTAGTCCGACACCCATCAGGATTAACGACTATGTGTGATTTGCGAGGTCACTGAGCCTTGAATCCACAAGCAGAAAGGAGTCGAAATTCAAGTTGAGAACATCCATCGTGGCACAAGAGCCCCCGTCTCCCAGCTTGAGTCGAGACATCGATGCGTGTCCGGTGCGGCTGAAGCATCCGATGTCTTGATGATGAGCTAGAACTCAGCGTGTGATGGCTCCCGCAAGCCTCACACCGAATTGGTGCAATTATTGCTCCTCTCGGAAACCTACGTCTGCAAAGTACCCAACCCACGCATAGCGGACGGTTTGCCCTTGAGACACCAAATCCATGGACCAATGTGGCACTCAGACTCGTCCGGTCACAAGTGGCATGTCTCAACATGTTGCGATTCAGAAGTTCGCCCCATCATATCCGTCTGCGTATGCATCTGCCCGTTCACCACCGGGGCCGTCTTGTCGGCCGACGGGGTCCTGTTCTGCTCCAATGCGGGAAACAACTTTGAAACAAGCCCTGCGAGACAGTCGAGATGGGCATACTTTCTCTTGCACAGCACAGGATGAAGCTTGCAGGACAGCGTGCGTGGCCTCAAGAAAGCAAGAACGGTTGATGGGGTGTTAGGGGACCATTATGCCAGACTTGATTCCTGCAGCGACTCGCCGTTCATGTTCCTCGAGGCTTCTCGAAGCATACGGTCGCGAATGACAGAGATGAGGCAATATGCGATCCGCGCTGTCAGGGCAATTTTCGACGACCAAGACTTCACGGCATACTTGCAACCTCCCTTTGCCAACACGACCTGTTTCTGGCCAATCATTCCAGTCACCCATGAAACGACTTGCCTCAGATGTTGAAAGCCAAAGAACAAAAAAAAAACTCACCGCCCAGAGTCTTCCATCCCCGATGACCCCGACAGCCGGACGGATCAACCAACCAGTCACCTTGCGGGACTGACATGTCGCATCATCGGATCCGGGGTGAGACCTTCGGCTGCCCTGTGCATTGCTTCCCCAGCCAACGCGTCACTTGTGCTTCGGCCGGGCGGGCTTCGCTGGCCGTCCGGGCTTATGCCGAATCGGATTTTCCTTGGCAGCCGGCGCGGGTGACGACAGCATCCCGTTCAACAGCCGTCCCCTTGACTTTTCCCGGGGCGACCCACCCCCAGAGCATTTCACACATACCGACGTCAAACACGGCTCACTTGTCTTTGAACGAATTATGTTTTGACCTGTAGAGTATTGATTATTGAGCTGACGGCGCCAATCGTCTGCGATGACGTCGTGGTTCTCGGTGGGCTGTTAAGGTGTGAGGCAACCCTTTTCTCGGCCTTGTGGTCGTTTATCGACTCCGTCTGTGATGTTCACCCCTCTTTGCAATCCCATCGGCAGCCCTTTGGAGGCGCAGCGCGCTATTACGCTGCGCTGTCAGCAACAGAGCCACCCAGGCCCAACTTTGACATATTCAACGGTGCCCGCGGGTGCGTGTCCACCGCAATATACCTTTGAGCTTAGATGCCGTCCTTCCGTAGCCCCACCCTCGTAGGCATGCTCGCGACTTTCGAGAAAAATCCTCATCCGTAGACTCCGAATGCAGCCTTGAGAAGGATACTAGGGCATGTCAACACCCAGTAGAATGATTCCCCCGCAGATGCTCGTATTCAGAATTCTCGCTGGGCCATCTTGTTTCTGCGGCATCCCCAGCTGAAGTGCCGAGCCAAGAGGCTGGGTCAGAGGCTCTCGCAGAGCAGTGAGGCACACGATCTATTGATACCGAAGCATCTTCTGCGAGACATTTCGTGCAGCAGCCGAAAGATCGAGCTCGTCCAACGGGTAAGTACGTTCTAATCTACCGCTTTCATACAACCTTTTCGAAGAGTTCCTGGATGGGTTTCGCAGCCTACACCGACGGACGTTAGAAAATCGATACGCATGACAAGTTTCGTCAAACGGAAGCAAGGCATTGTAGAACTCACATCGATGAACTTCTCCAAGTCTTTGTCGAGGTTGGCCAAATCGTCCTTGCGCTTCTTGTTCTCGGCAATGAGCTTCTGCTTCCTGCCCACCAGCTCGAGCCTCTGCTGCTCGAGAGCTTCGCGTCCCACTCGCTCGTGGCCGATGCGCGCAATCATCAAGGCGTCCTCGTCGGCGTCGGCGTGCTCTGGTTGCTCGGCGAGGAATTCTTCGACGGGGATGAGAGGTAGCTTCTGGTAGGTGTGGCTGGAAAGTCACAAGATGTTAACTATGGATGAAACTTCCATCGACCGCGCCATATAGGAGAAAAAGACAGAAGAGTATAAAAAAAAGCCTCTCCCACTTACTCGTAAGATTCGCAGGCCTCAATCTCGCCCTCGAGATGGCGCTGCTCGTAGTAGAGGTTCTGCAGCTGGAGGTGCAGGCGGTCGACCTCGTGGCGCGCCTCGGCGGTCTGGGCTTTTGTGTCCCTGGCGTCAAAGTTGGCGGACCGGTGCAAGCCGCGGAGGTGCGAGATGTTTGTGAGGAGGAGTTTTTGTTCTTTTGACAGGGCGGCTTGGAGCTCTGGCGAAGTTGAGCCTGACTCTTCGGCGGTGCGGGTGATTTCGGTGAGGAGGTGGAGGAGCTTGGAGGCTTGGTCTTGGGCGTAGCCTGAGGTCTGGAGGACCGCGCCGAGTTTCTTGTCTGATACGAGCTCGTTGACTACCATTGTTGCGGTTTCTTGTGCTTTATCCGTGGAGTTGTGAAGAAGTTGACGATGAGGGGTGGCAGGGTATGGTGACAGCTATGTCGGTCTCGATTTGAATTTCGTTGATGTGTTCGCCAGAGCTGATCTGCTTGATCGCCGTTTTCCGAAGAAAGGATTGTTCGTGAAAGCTTCGGGGTGAAGTTGGGATCGCGTAGTCTCTCTTGTCGCGTGCGCGCGCAAGGCTGAAGGGAAGGCGAGGTAAGGTCGTCCGGCGCGATCTGACGAATGGGATGGATTGGGCGGTTTTGCACTTTTTGCGCAAACAGACGGGTACGCTGACAGGGGCTAACGTGCGAAACTTCAGCCTTGTGGTTTGCTTTTGAAAGGTATTCGGTAAGGTAATTGAGGTTGCGCCTCAAAAGTCGAAAGCGTGGGCCGTGGCGTGGTGGTTGGATCTAGTCTGCTTCCGATGCTTTTTGCCAATATTCCCATAGCTCACCACTACTGTACCGTGGCGGACGTTGGAAAATCAGTGCAGCCGCACCGCAGGGACCGTGCTT